GAGAGAGAGAGAAGAGAGAAAGAGAGAGAGAGAGAGAGAGAGAGAGAGAGAGAGAGAGAGAGAGAGAGAGAGACTGGGTTTTATAATAAGCCCATATGCTCAAATGAACCTATACCTGTTATAAAAATATTAATCCATTTACGAGGGCAGAATCCTCATTATCATGCCATCTCTTCAGTGCTCCTCCTCCCAACATTGTTGCATTGGAGATTACAGGACATGCATTTTAGGGAACACGTCCACCCCTGTTCCCATGCTAGGAACATGCTGTTCTTAGCCCTCCAAGTTCATAATTTTCTCTCATGCACAACTCATTCTCTATCAACAGCCCCCAAAGACTAAGCTTTAAAGGCACCAATTCAGAACTTCAAAGGCCAGAGTCTTATCTAAATCACACATAAGTGGGATTCACGCTGTGGCAAATGCCAGCTGCAAGACTCTGGAAACTGCACAAAGTTTTCAACTTCCAAGACACAATGGTGGGACAAGTATGGGGTAGATGTTACCACTGTCCATGGGAGAATTAAGCAAGATAAAAGAGTGAACTGACTCCAACTCATTCCAAATCCCAACTTTGGAAATGCTAAAGTTGATAAACACTTTGACTCCACGCCTCACATCCTGCAGGGCTTCAGGTGGCTCTGTCCCTAGTGGCTGCAAAGCTCAGCCCACCCAGAAGCTTTCAAGCTAAAAATTAGTGCCTAAACTTTCCAAGGCTAGAACTGCATGCTTAGGCCTTGATACTTCTGTGGTCTCCAGGGCCGACCCACTGCCACAGATGCACTAGACATTGCCATAATGGGAGCTTTGTAGCAGCCTTCCTATATGGTTCTTCTTGACATTACTATTTTGGACACTCTGGAGTGGCCCTGGCCCTGTAACAGATCTCTTCATGAGCTCCCAGGTCGTCCAACTGATCCCTTGAAATCTGGGTGGAGACTGCCATGATCCTATAGATCCTGTATTCTGTGCACCTTGGAGAATTAGCACACACTGGAGACACCCAGATTCACAGCTTACACACTCCAGACTGTTGCTTGGAGTCACAAACTGACCCATTTGAGCTGTGAAAGACAAGGGTACTGCCATTCTCAGAGCAGAATCCCAAGGACACACAGCACAGTAAGTGCTGAGGTCCCGTGGGCCCTTCTCTGAGAACCTTGTCTTCCAGAGCCTCAGGGCCATTCGGCCATTGTTTTAATCACAGAACCTGGCTTTCGTCTGTCTGTATTCATTTCTTTAGCAACAAAGGTTAGGCCGTACCATTTCCTTTTCCTCTGAAGATTATTATGTCTACATGGCTACAACTGAGAATTTCCCAAATATAGTCATTTTGCCTCCTTTTTCGTCATAAATTCTGACTTTTTATTCTTTTTGTCTCCCTTCATTTTACTGTAAGGAAACAGCCAAGAAAATCCTTTTGAGAATGGGGACACTTTACCACTTAGACAGTGTTTCTGCAACGTAGCTTAGTGCATTGCTTTTTAAGATCTACCTTCCCCAAGTCATAAAAGTGAGACTGCAAACATGTACCAAGAAAAGGGAATGGATCAAGACATGGGTAGGGAGTGAAGAGAGAGAAGGGCAAAGGGGTGAAATAAAGAATTCAGATGTGTTGTATACGTGTATCCCCACAAGAAATGTAAATATTACACATTACAAACATATACTAATATATAAAAATGTAAAAATAAAAGAAGCTGAAGGTGATTGAATTTTAAATTAGGATAATACATTTGCACAAAGATGGCAAAAGGGGTTCTATAATTGGGAACATTTGAAACGGTGTAAATGAGAGTGATTTTTATGCCATTACTTTTGGTGTGAGAGCACCAGGGCGGTGAACAATTGCAGGAGTTTGTGAGGTTAACCATGGAAGCAAGACAATGAGATTGGTGAATAATGGAATTTCCCGTTCAAAGCTGAAAATCTGATAAGGAGAAACCAGAGCAGCTACAGGAGAAGACAGAGAGAGAACATCAGGCCAAGGACTAGCAGAGGGCGTGAGGCGTGACCTCAGTGTTTAGGGTCTATGAAAAGAGAAAAGTATAATAACAATCGAGAAAAACAGGTTAAAGAAGATCCTTGAGACCGCAACTGGTTGCAGGCTTGCGCCCTCCTGGGTCCAGTCCTGGGACTCCTGGTCCACCCGAATTGGGATCTGCTTCTCAGCCTTGTTAGTTGACTCTGGCCAACTCGATCTTATTATCAGCAGTGGAATGAGGAGTTCATCGGGGAGTTTAGTTAGGACCCTTGAAAAAATCAGAAATATGATCTTTTTAAAGACCAAATATGATCAAAAAAGACCAAGGGATAGAGGGAGATGGGGAGGAAAGGAGGGGAGGGCATGATGAACTAAGGCATGGCCTGTACCTATCCTAGCTTTCCATGATGAATGTAATAACTATGTCATGCATGCATGTGCTAATGAAGAAATTTAAAAGTAAGAAATATGGGAGGATCAGAAATATGAATCCATGTAATTTATAGGGACATGAAGCTAAAGGGAGTCTTACGGTTGGGGTCTTTTCCAATAAATATAATCTACAGGCCTCCAATTATGAAACCTCCTAGGAAGACCTTGTTGAAGGAAGCTTGGACAAAATTATCACTAGTTGTAGGATGCTAATCAGTTCCCTGAAGGAAGGCTTTAGACCTTCATTGATGAGCACAGTTAATTTTCCTCCATGCAGGCCTAAAGATTGAGTGGCAATTGACTCAAAAGGAGAAAACGTATCTTTTTGTAGGAGAAAAATGATAGCTAATAAAACTAAAGAAAGGGCCTTGGGCCATAGCAGACTGAATGTTGCAGAGATTTTTGCAAATGAAATTTTATTATTCCACTGGTTTGCTACAGCAGCCTCCAGAACTGGGGGTGCTACGCCTAATAGCAAGGTGGTCAGATAGGCCACATATCACAAACCCTTTGAATAGTCTATCCTTTAAAATGTTTCCTTAACCACTATAATATTTCCAGAGAACCCCTTTGTTTATTTGATTAAAAGAGCAGTCTCTGGATGGGCCCTATGGCGCCCCAATTTCCCAACTGGCCTGCAGGAAGAAATTTTATGGTTTATTCATGATCTGACTCACTGCAATACTACAAGACTTTCCAATGGGGTGAAATTTCTCTGTTCAGGCCTCAGGTATGGCTGTGACCTGATGGCAGGGGAAAGCCTACCCCAAGGGGAACACACAAAAGTAATGACCAGCGTGCTTTCACGCTCTCGGGGAGGAGGGAGCTGAATGAAGTTTACCTGACATACCTCAAAAAGACCATTCAGAAGGGGAAACTGGCCCACAGAGTCAAGAAATGGCATTCCAGGACTATACTAGGGACATATTTAACAATGTTGGCGACCCAATAAGCAACAGTGAGTGAAAGCCTACAATAATATGATTTTCTCCACTGAAATGTCTTGTTATATTCCAGTGAGCCAAATCATGAATAAAGTATAAAATGTCAGGGGGCTATTTTATGAAGAGACGGAGACTGAGCAGTCACTGCCGTGATGCCGACCTCAAGCAGCAGTCAGCTCCACGTAGGCCCTGGGAGCAGGAGCAGGAGATTCGGAATCGAATCCCTTCTCTCATCTCTCTCCTGTGACATTTTTTTGATCTTCACTACAGTTTTTGTCACTGTCAGCAACTTTATCTTTAAACA